ACATGTTATTTCTTGAAAAGTAAAAAATGATGTAATGCATGTCTCAATTAATTGAATAACTGTCTTTGTTTCTCACTTCTGTAACATGCTTCCAGCTGCACAGATCTTCCCTGACCCCACAAAATGCTTAAAAGGTAATGACTCTTTGTTTGGGGCTCAGTCCTTTCGATGTTAATCCGACTGGGCTGGTGCACCTAAATAATATATATCCTTCTGAACCCCATCAGTCTCTCTGATTTCTTATCAATCCCACTACAATATGAAGTTAAAACCAGGCACTATGAGTGCTCATCTGATTTTTGTTATTAAGAGAAGGTATTTTTTCTGTGTATAGTTGTTAACTTGGTGTCCTTGCAGGAAGGATGTTCAATAGAGCCTTCTATTTAGCCATCTTGCTTTGCCCTTTCTCCGGGAGTCCCTTACATTTAAGTCTTTAATTCATCTTGCATTGATTTTTAATGTATGGTGGAAGAAAGGGCACCAGTTTCAATCTTATGCATGTGGCTCGGCAGTTATTCCAGCACCATTTATTGAATAGAGACTCATTTCTCCATTGCTTGTTTTTGTCATTTTTGTCGAAGATCAGATGGTTATAGGTGTGTGACTTTATTTGTGGGGTCTCTATTCTGTTCCATTAGTCTATGTATCTGTTTTTATACCAGTACTATGCTGTTTTAGTTATTATAGCCCTGTAGTATAGTTTGAAGTCAGGTAGTGTGTTGCTTCTGGCTTTGCTCTTTTTACTTAGGATTACTTTGGCTGTTCCAGCTCTTTTTTGTTTCCATATGAGTTTTATGGTAAGTTTTTTCTAATCTATGAAAAATTTCATTGGTAATTTGATGGGAAAAGCATTGAATCTGTAAACCGTTTTGGGTAGTATGGTTATTTTAACAATATTGATTCTACCCATGAGCATGGAATGTTTTTCCATTTGTTTGTGTCATCTGTGATTTCTTCAAGCAGTACTTTGTAATTCTCATAGTAGAGATCTTTCACCTCCCTTAACTGTATTCCTAGGTATTTTATTTTTTGTGGCCATTGTGAATGGGATTGTGTTCTTGATTTGGTTCTCAGTTTGGATGTTATTGGTGTATAGAACTGCTACTGATTTTTATACATTGATTTTATGTCTTGGAACTTTGCTGGAGTTGTTTTTCAGATCCAGAAGCCTTTGAACAGAAGCAATTTTTTTTGTTTGTTTGTTTGCTTTGTTTTTTTGAGATGGAGTCTCAGTCTGTCACCCAGGCTGGAGTGCAGTGGTGTGATCTCTGTTCACTGCAACCTCTGCCTCTCAGGTTCAAGCCATTCTAGTGCCTCAGCTTCAAGCCATTCTCGTGCCTCAGCTTCCTGTCTTATCTATGTTTTACTGTCTGCTCTTTCTGACTGCTTGTAATTAGAAGAGAGATGATTTCCTTGAAATGCATCAGGCTAGAAGGAGAGATGGAACTTAAAGTGGCAGTGTTTGTTCAAGATGATGGTGCTTCTGCTCTGTCAATATGGAGTAGCCAGGAGAAATCATTAACATCATTAAAATCAACCTTTATTAGCTGGGATTACAGGCATGCACCACTATGCCTGGTTAATTTTAGTATTTTTAGTAGAGATGGGGTTTCACTATGTTGGCTAGGCTAGCCTTGAACTCCTGGCCTCAAATGATCTGCCTGCCTCGACCTCCCAACATACTGGGATTATGGGTGTGGGCCACCACGCCAGGCCATGATGGAGTTTTCTAGGTATAGAATCAAATAGTCTGTGAAGGCATATAATTTGAAGTCCTCTCTTCCTATTTGTATGACTTTTTATTTATTTCTCTTGCCTGATGCCCTGGTTTGAACTTCCAGAACTATGTTAATAGGAGTGGTGAGGGTGTGCATTCTTTTCTTGTTCTGGTTCTCAAGGGGAAATGCCTCTAACTTTTGCCTGTTTAGTATGATGTTGACTGTGGGTTTGTCACACATGGCTATTACTATGTTCTCCTTTGATGCCCAGTTTATTGAGGGTTTTTAACATAAAGAGAGGTTGAATTTCATTGAATGGCTTTTCTGCATCTGTTGAGATGATCACGTGATTTTTGTTTTTAGTTTTGTTTCTGTGATGAATCAAATTTATGATTTGTGTATGTTGAACCAACCTTGCATCCCAGGGATAAACCCTATTTGATTGTGATGAATTAGCTTTTTGATGTGCTTCTGGATTTGCTAGGCTAGTATTTTGTTGAGGATTTTCGCATCTATGTTCATCAGGGTTATTATCCTAAAATTTTCTTTTTTCATTTTGTGTCCACCAGATTTTTATATCAGAATGATACTGGCTTTGTAGAATGAGCTAGGAAAGAGCCGATCCTCCTCAATTTTTTGGAATAGTTTAGCTAGAATTGGTACCAGACCTTCTTTATATGTCAGGTGGAATTTGGCTGTGAGTCTGTCTGGTCCAGGGCTTTTGTTGTTGATGGGTTTTTAATTACAGTTTCAGTGTCAGGACTCACTACTGGTCTGTTCAGGTTTTCAATTTCTTCCTGGTTCAGTCATGGGAGAGGGTGTATGTTTCTAGCAATGTATCCATTTCTCTAGGGTTTCTAGTTAATGGGCATGGAAGTGTTTGTAATAGTCTCTGAGGGTTTTTTATATGTCTCTGGGGTCAGTGGTAATGTCCCCTTTGTCATTTCTGATGGTGTTTATTTGGATCCTCTCTCTTTTTTTTTTGCTGTATTAGTCCAGCGAGCAGTCTACCAGTCTTATTTATTCTTTCAGAAAACCAGCCTTTGGTTTTGTTGATCTTTTGTATGTCTTTTTGTGTCACAATTTTGTTCAGTTCAGCTCTGATTTTGGCAAGCCTTGGGGGATGGTGTCCCTGGCCATGCTCCACTGCAGCAGGTCCCATGGCAAATACTCTGGGTTCCATGCAGGGGAGCCTTGTCCCCACCAACCCTCCCTTGCCAGCCCAAATATCCATGGATTCTCCTGTAGCTAGGATTCTAGAGGTCCGTAGTGACAGTGGGCCACTCCATGTCTATTTAACTTACCCCTTCCCCAGGAGCCACTCAGGGCGAGGAATAAGTCCTGATGCTTGGATACTCTGTGCAGGGTCCCCAGCTTCTTGCTCCTTCAGTCCAGGGTCGGTGTCCTACCTCTGTCTACTCTCAATGCCTTCCTTCTGAACATCTGCTCAGAGTGTGCTGGTCTTCTTGATGGTCTTATCTCTTGGTGGGAGAAGCTCTTGCTGGCCATGTCTGGTTGGCTCTCTTGGCTCTGAGCCCCTTTATTTTTTAGATCTACTTAAACATTTTTTAAATAAGAAGGCAGTCAGGGGGCATTTTTTTATAGATTGTATACTACTACATTTTCTGGCTGTCATAATGTTTAGTGTTGTAGTAGGCATTTAGGTATATATTTTGATATACCTATTAATTGCTTTCTTTAGTGTGGGAAACATTCATTTCAAATGATTGCCAAGGAATATGTAATCTCATTGATGACGTAATATTCTATAATTTCTTTAAACTTCATGAGAACCCTTTATTATATCTCTACGAGGTGTTTCTGCTGAAATACATAGTGAACTCTTGCAAACTGTTGACTTCGTTTATAAAAGACTTGGTGTGTTAGGATAAATATGTAATATTTCATCAAAAGATAATCATGAAGAAATAGGCATTACAATAGAAATGTATTCTAAATTCATATCACGTTTTTCAGCATCATCCAGGATATAGAAATGTAAGTTCTCAAGGCATAATGCTCTATGTAAATTCCTTGATGGTGGGTATATCCATCTGTTCATTTCTCTTTCAATACCTGAAGCAGGGCTTGTATGTACTAGACACTCAGTAAATATTTATTGAACAAATAAATAATGAAAATTTCATCCCTATGAACACTCATCATTTGTTTTGGAGAAATATTTCAACTTAAAATTTATAAGCAATAAATCGTTTACCTAAAATAGAAAAAAGAAAAAAGGTAGACAATTATTTCCTGATGTAGTACTTTCACTTCTAATGAATGGAATATCAAATTATTGACTAAGCAAATTTTAATATCTAAGAATTTTTCTAATTAAAAACTGTGGTTATAAACTTTCAGAATAACAGATTTATAGCTTTTTCAAGTACTTTAGCATTCATTGTATTTGTTATACAGAGAAATCCTGTGAGATAGGCTATCATATATTTCGGTTTTTCGTTGTACAAATGAGGGAACTGGATCTCAGAAAGATTAATAGGTTACTCACGGTTACAGTTTGTGAGAGGGAAAGGTAGGTCTGAGACCCAAGTGTCAATGCCTCCAAAGGCAGATTTACTTTTCATTTCACAACAGAGCTTTCTCCCTGTATGACACTTAAATAATGAAGTATGTTGAAATGAAAAGGGTGCTTACATCCCATTCTAACCCCCAGCACTGCAACTGTGTGATTATGTGATATTGGGCAAGTCAGGTGATCTCATATCCAATATTTTTCTTCTTCTGCAAACCTCAAATTTATAAGCTAAATTTTGCCTTTTATCATATGTAGTGATAAGAAATCTCTTGTTAGTGATTATATTCTGATAGCCTTTGTTCTGGGTGTATTATTTATTTGTTTCATATATAGTTTGTAAGCTTACTGAGGGCCTAATTTGTCATTGAATATAAATATAATCATGTTAAAGTTTGTGTATATATTTATGTGTATATATTTGTATATATGTGTACTGTATTTCTGATCGTGCCCAGTTCATTGCAAGGAGCAGATTAGGAGCATATTCTGTATGTATCCTTGTTAGTCTCTTTCTACTTCGGCAACAATGTAATTGATGAACTCTGGTTAGTGAACATCTGTCAGTAAGAAGGTTATCCTGGCATCCACTGTTAGCAGACACCAGATGCAATGTCCTAGCTATGCCCCCTACTCCTTTCATTGACTGTGTTGGTAAATTATGATGGTTTTACCTTGCCGAGAAAATGTTTTGGTAGTTGTCTCATGTAATTTAAGCAACTCATAACTGTATCTTATTCCTTTAGTAGAAAACCGCACTGCACAAATAACATCCACAGGAAGCCTTGTATTCCAAAATTTTGAGGAGAGTATGAGTGGAATTTATACATGTTTCCTCGAATATAAACCTACTGTGGAAGAAATTGTTAAACGTCTTCAACTAAAATATGCTATATATGGTAAGAAGTAAAGTTAGTTGTGTTTTAACCTTCCTTAATTATTTTAAACATTTAAATATGTTTAAGTAGGTTTGTCTTAAAGGGACTTTATTTTTAGTCTCATTTAATTAAAAAAGAATTACTGCCTCCCTATGTAAGTACTTTGTAAAGGGTTAGTGCTGAGGGCACAGAATGGTTAACAGATCGTAGTCTTTTTTTCTTCAGGGGAATGTTGACATGTACACACAGATGAATTTTAGGGCCAGGTATTTATAAATGTTTTCAAATTATTATGATATTATGGCTTGTACTATATTAAATTCTAAGTATTTTAAATTTGAGTATCATGATTTCTGGTACACTGCCATCCCCCAAAACAGGAGCGTGAAACACCACTGTAAATTCCTTTTCTGGCGGGTTGACCTTTTGAGGCTTACAATTGGCAGAGGTCAGTTGATATTTGTAAGAATTACAGAAAGAGGAAAGAAACATGAAAAGGTGGCTCTCCAGTCAAGACAGGTTTATTTTAGAAAACAAACCTGAGAGATGCCTTCTGGCTGAGTTAGGTCAGAGGCACACTCTCTTACAGACTAAGAGTTTTTAAGGATTCAGGGTGGGAGAGTTTATCAGAGGCTTGGACTGCTTCTGTGTCTCTTTGTTGTGCTTATCTGGGAGGGAGGGTTGTGTGTCTGTTCCCATGCATCTTTTTGCAGCTGCAGGCATATCCCCCAAATCTGCTTTTAGCTTCTCTATCTTAGTGCATCGGAAGGGAAAGGGAAAGGAATGTGCTTATTAAGGCCCACTGTTTTATTTTTTTTTGAGACGGAGTCTCACTCTGTCACCCAGGCTGGAGTGCAGTGGCGCCATCTCAGCTCACTGCAACCTCCACTTCCCAGGTTCAAGCGATTCTCCTGCCTCAGCTTCCCGACTAGCTGGGACTACAGGCACATGCCACCACACCCGGCTAATTTTTTGTATTTTTGGTGGAGATGGGTATCACTGTGTTAGCCAGGATGGTCTCAATTTCCTGACCTCATGATCTGCCCACCTCGGCCTCCCAAAGTGCTGGGATTACAGGCATGAGCTACTGCCCCTGGCCAAGGCCCACTGTTTTACTGGGACCCGTTGTATAAGGGTGAGGTTTGGCAGTTACCCAAGAGACTTTAACCCATCTCCCTCTGTGCCGCAGCTGTCTTATCTGTGTTTTACTGTCTGCTCTTTCTGGCTGCTTGTATTTAGAAGAGAGGTGATTTCCGTGAAATGCATGAGGCTAGAAAGGGAACTAGAACTTAAAGTGGCGGTGTTTGTCTGAGATGACGGTGCTCCTGCTCTGTCAATATGGAGTAGGCAGGAGAACAGCCTGAACCCAAGTTGCTTGTAGGTTCCATCTCACTAGTGGGACCCATGTGTGGCAGACAGAATAATGGCTCCTAAACATGTCCACATCTAGTCATATCCAGAACATGTAAGTGCGTTGCCCTACATGGAAAAAGGGATTTAGCAGATGGATTGCGATGAGATTATCCTGAATTATCTGGGTGGGTCCAATGTAATCACAGGGTTCCTTCTAAGAGGAAGGCAAGAGGGTCAAAGGCAGAAAAAGGAAATGTGCTGACAAAAGGAGAGGTTGCAGTGATTTTCTTTGAAGATCAAAGAAGCCACATGCCAAATAATACAGGCAGCCACCACAGCTGGAAATGGCAAAGAATTGGATTCCCCCTAAAGCTTTCAGAATGAGTACAGCTTGATTTTTGCTTAGTAAGACTCATTTTGGATTTCTGATCTCCACAGCCTTAAGGTCATAAATTTGTGGTGTTTAGAACATTAGGTATGTGGTAATTTGTTACAGTGTCAATAAGATAACTTATACACCATTACTTTGACAGCAAGGGTGCCAAACAACTGGCAGAATGGTTAGTGGTTTCTTGATAATATTTTGGTTAATCAAAAAATACTTTCCCATATAGCCAAAGAGAGACATAATGTTTTGGTAAGATAATTAACTTTGTTAGGCAAATAATTTGTTTAAACCTTTTAATCAGTCATGTTTCATTTTTGTTACATAGTAGTTGTCTCCCTCTTGTTACTTCATGTACCTAACTTATAATAAATGTACTTCAGAATCACTCATAAGTACATATTCACATATGCTAACAAATGTAGAAGTGCCTAAAATGAGTACTGGTTTATAATAATGATAATGATAGCTAATATTTACTAAGCACTTATGATACACCAGGTGGTGCTGTGTTTTTACATGTAATTATTACAACAACAGCAAAATCCATATTTATGTAATGCTTGCTTAGTGTAAGCATTGTTCTAATTTATTTATATTAAATGTATTTCACCACAAACTGTGATGTAGGCACTGCTATTTTTGGTCTTGTAAGGAAACAGAGTGGTTAAGTGACTTTCTCAAGACCACAGCTATTAAGGAGGGGAGGGGAGAACTCAGATTTCAATTTAGGAATTCTGGTCCTAGAGTTAGTATTCTTATGATTTATGGTATCCTGCTATGTATACCACTGTTATATGAATGCCAGCAGGATGAAGACCTGATTAATAAACTGACTTTGAAGACCTACTCTTTTAATGCTTAAAACCAATGCAATTGATTATATTTTATTATACATACCTCCTTTAATCTTTCTAATAGCTACATAGTGTTTCAGATTTTATTTGAGCATTCTTCAGTTAATTACTATTTAGTTTGTTTCACATTTTCCCTACCTCAGATGGTACTGTGTGGAACATTTAAATATGTGTCCATCCATCCATCTGCCGTTGGTCTGTGTATACACACACATACACCATACCCCCTCACCATACTAACATTGCTGTATTTTGTAAGATAAGTTGTTAGTCTTTCAGAAAGATGAATTCTGTAAAGGAAAATCTGCAGGGAATTTATAGTGCTATTTTGACTGATTCTTTTGTATAGTAATTTACAACCCTGCTGTAGTAGATGAGAACCTCAGTTTCTAAAACCCCTTTAATGCTGTATTTTGAAGTGTTGCCAATATGATAAATTAATGGTATTTTATAGTTTTAATATGCATTTTTTGGTCTTTGGTGGGTTATTCAAATCTCATTTGTGTGAGCTCTCTCTGTGCGTATGTGTGTGTGTCTGAATAGCTATAGAGAGATGTATAGCTATGTAGATATTAATTTTATGTCAAATGCATTGTATTCTGTATTTTGTTTTTAGCTTATTAATCTCTTATATTCTAAGTAAAGGATAATTCCAAATTTTAAAATTTTATATAAACTACAAGTGGCGTTTTCTTTTTGACTCATGTTTTTTACTGTGTTGAGCAAGATATTCACCATTACCTGGATTGTAAGAAGTAAAATCAACTTATAATTTTCTATATATATTAAAAACCATTAAACATTTTAGAAAATTACAAAATAAAGTCAAGAATTGTTATCAGTTTTGAATATGGCAAGACACTAAATGTATAAAATGGTGATTCATTGCTTTAATATACACTTCCTTAATTATTAGTAAGTTAGAACATCTTTTCATATTTTTATTATTCAGTAGATTGCCTTTTCAATTCAATTGTCATCTTCCTTTTGCATAGTTTGTCTTTTTCTTACTAATTTTTAGATATTTTGCTGTTCTGGATACTAGCCTTTCCTTATGCATGCTATAAATAATTTCTACCTTCTCTCACTTAAGATGTTTATACTAACAGAAGTTTCAATTTTTTTTTTTTGTAATGAGACCTATCAGTTTTAATTCTCTGAGTTGTTTTGCTTTTGTTTTGTTTAGTTTTGTTTTCTAAGAGATTGTTTCCTATCTAGAAAATAAAAATTGCCCAGAACTTTGGGAGGCTGAGGCGGGTGGATCGCTTGAGACCAGGAGTTCGAGACCAGCTGACAAGATACAGAGCAGTCCCATCAAAAGAAGGATACCTTGTGTTGACCTTTTATAATTGAACCCGCTTTCCCTCCTACCTCCATCCAGAATTCCTGGCAACCACCAATCTTCTCTAATTCTGTATTGTCAACATGGAAAAACACCATCTCTTCTAAAAATACAAAAAAATTAGCCAGGCGTGGTGGTGCATGCCTATAATCCCAGCTACTCAGGAGACTGAGGCCAGAGAATCACTTGAACTGGAAGCTGCAGTGAACCCAGATCATGCCACTGTATTCCAGGCTGGATGACAGAGTGAGACTCTGCCTTAGAAAACAAAAAAGAAAAGGAAAAGAAAAGAAAAATTGTTTCCTATATTTTCTAGCCCTATTTTTTAAAATAGGAATAAATTGACATCTTTTATTTGTTAGACAAAGAACAATGTTCAATATAAATTTTCTGAAGACCCTTAAAACCTGTGAATTTCTGGCCAGTTCACAAAACCGTAAGATGACACTTTTCAGCATGAAGTAAAAAACAGTCTGTCAGCTCTAAAGACGTTACAGAGCAGAAATTTCCAAATGTGTTATACAAGCTTTCTGGGCAAATGAAAAATCTATCTTCTATGATATATTAACAAAAATTCGCAAGATAAGATTATGTTTTGACATACTTAACAAGCATTCCTTCTTTGTCTCCAACAAACAAAGCTAAGGAAATAATGTAACCATTTTTACGCAGAAAATTAAGGCTGCAGGTCATACACAAGAACAGAAGTGCTTGAGCATTGAAACTGTTCTGCTTCATTGTCATACTCGAATTGTTGACTCTTAAACCGTTTTCAGTTAAATACAAGGAAAGGTTATTGCATGTTCAGCAATTACTAAGTTTTCAATAATTTAAGGTCCAGTAGCTTAGAAAAGTAGACTGAGAATGGTTCTGAAAAGGCAAGTTAAACCTTAGGCCTGTTTTTTCAGGTTAAACTTTTTGTTTTGAGATAAATGTAGATTAACATATGGTTGCAAGAAATAATACAGACAGATTCCATGTATTCATTAGCTAGCTTCCCCAAATCATAATATCTTGTAAACTAAGATAGTGATTTTGTCACAGTCTACCCATCTTATTCATATTTTTCCAGGTTTATGTGTAC